TTTTCCTCCTTTCTTGGACAGTCGGGACCTGCCAGTCCCTACTTGTGGCAGTCCCTACTGACGGCCAACTCACTCACTCCCTTTCACTCTTTTTGTTTTATTCTCCTTCATTTTCTTTTCTTTTCTCTCTTTTTTTTTCTAGCATGTCAAGTGTCAAGTGGCCGTTAAGGCCCTTTTCTAGCCTCTTCCTTTTAGTTTTGGCCCTTCCTATGCCCACAGTGCAGTCCGTTATATCTCGGACTGCAATAATGACCTTCTCATGCTCATGGGAGCTTCCCTTCACTCCTATTTTCCTCCCATAGTGCCCCCCCCCCTACTCCGATTTTCTCCCGGAGGGCTATTTTTCACATGGGGTCTCTTTTGACTCCTTTTTCTTGAGGGAGGCTGATCCTAGATTTTTCGGATTGCTCTCATGCCTCCCACCTCAAGCTTCTTTACCTTTTCTTTTCTTTTCGGCCTTCCTATTTGCTACCGCTAGTGCTTGCACTAGTGGTGCTAACATTCTTGGTCGTCAAGATCTCAATCTTGACGGTGCACCTTGCCTTTATTATTTTCCCTCATGCGGTGCTGCTGTTTCTTCTTGGGACTTTCACATGTCCCGCCACTTGCCCGTCGGTGGTCCCCAACACTTAGTCCTGCCGGTGGTCTCCGACACTTAGTCCCGCCGGTGGTCTCCGACACTTAGTTCCGTCGGCGGTCCCCGACACTTAGTCCCGCCGGTGGTCTCCGACACTTAGTCCCGCCGGTGGTCTCCGACACTTAGTCCCGTCGGCGGTCCCCGACACTTAGTCCCGCCGGTGGTCTCCGACACTTAGTCCCGCCGGTGGTCTCCGACACTTAGTCCCGCCGGTGGTCTCCGACACTTAGTTCCGTCGGCGGTCCCTGACACTTAGTCCCGCCGGTGGTCTCCGACACTTAGTCCCGCCGGTGGTCTCCGACACTTAGTTTCGTCGGCGGTCCCTGACACTTAGTCCCGCCGGTGGTCTCCGACACTTAGTCCCGTCGGTGGTCTCTGACACTTAGTTCCATCGGTGGTCCCCGACACCGACACTTAGTCCCGCCGGTGGTCCCCGACACTTTTCGCCCCGGATGCCATTATTTTTACTTTGTCCGACGTGGCCTCGGGTGCCTTTCCCCGAGGTGTCCCACGTCCCTCGGGCGTTTTGTCGCCCCATGGTGACCCTTCTCCCTTGTCTCTTCTTGCGCCTAGCGCGTGCCGATTTCTTTGGTCGTGGGCCTCCAACCCGAGGCCCCCGTAGGTGGCCCTTATGTTGGGCCCTCGCTCTCTAGCTTCCCACGGCCTCCGGCCGCCCATCTCTCGACTCCCTCGTTCCTTTGTCGTTGTCGTGCTGCATTTGCTGGTCCAAGGGCCCTTTGGCCTCAGTCTTACCGAGTTCCAGAGGCCTTCTCGGCCTCATACCATGTGCTATGCGCGCTTGTTCTTGCGCTTGCTCGCTTGCCGCTGCTAGTTCTTTCCCCTGTGGTTCTCACCTCAGGGCGTTATTCCCTCCTGCGGCCCAATCCTTTTTTCTCTCTCCTGCCTCCTCACTCCAGATTTCTCTGTCGTGCACAATTTGTCTATATTTAGTCTCTCGAGTGATGGGAAGTTATTCGGGACCCACCAGTCCCGACACCGTCTATCAGAATAGGCCCTTAGGGCCTGTCTGTTCTAGGGATAGCCCGGGCCGGGCCTATATTTTCCCGGATTTGCAAATATGTCCCTCACAATTTTCCCTCACAGGTAGGTCACTCGGTTAGCCCTCAGCCAAACAAAATTACGAATCTAACGTAAGATGCGACCCGACTGAGGCAAGCCCCGAGCTTCGCCCTCGGCCTAATGTACAGTCCACTGAGAATCTGCACGCTTCATTACAGAAAGAGGAAGAGAGCCCAGCACACCCCAACAGGCCATGAAGCACCAAACAACCACCCATGGGCATACCCAAGTCACACGGCACTTACCTGTGAGGCCCAACCTCCAAAGATGGATAACGACTCACCCCCCTCGCTCATAGGTCCTCCTGACCCCTAGCTACCACTACACACAGCGTCCTAGCATGACTAAGAGGGCCTCTCTACACCCATGTTACAACGCCGGATCCTCCGTCGATGTTGAGGACCAAAGTAGCAACTTGCAGCTCTTCAATGCAAATATGGCAGCCTCCGATCAAGTCTCCCTCTTGAGGGGAAGCCCAAAAGTCACTCAATGTCTTCTTGAAGTCCAGATTCCAGTTGCGAGTACCTCTCACTCTCTACTCCCTCTCGCTTACTCCAATCAGCCTCCTTTGTGTCTCGCCACCCCATTCAATCACTCACGCAACCTGGTCAGGTCTGATGGCAACCCCACATGACCTAAACAGGTGGGGGCAGCATCCACATACCTCACTGCCCCTCTTAACCCTATCCTCCAACCCTAATCCGAGATTAGGTTAGCCCTAACCTAATTCGGAATTAGGGTTAGGGTGAGTAACACCTCTTGCAAGCAAGTAAGTCCGCTCCGATACCAATTGTTACGATCCTGGTCATTCCGAAAGTGCAAACTCACAATGAAAGACAATGCCACCCAATTGCGAAAGAAATGAAAGCACTTGAAAAGAGATAGAGACCAAGGAAGAGAGAAGGAAGAAGAAAAAGAAGAAGTACACCAGCAAGACCGATGACAAATCCCCCTTCTCTCTCCACCTTCCTCCTCCTCCTTCACTTCACCGATCTTATTCTTCTTCCAACAATAATAATAACAATGAGTGGATGAACCAGAATCAATATCTGAAGTTCCCTCTTACTGCTGACACAACAACAGGTCCACCATAGCCATGGCTTCCCCCTTCTTCCTCCTCTCACATGCCTAGGCTATGGCGGACTACTAAGGGCTCTGCCCTCCTGTGCGAAGGACGTCGCAAAGCAGCTATTTCGCTGCACTCCTGTCCAAAGGACAACACAAAGCAGCTATGCCGCTGCTCACTAAGCCCTTCGCTCACTAAGCCGCCATGCCTGACTCTGCCTCGAGTTTCCTTGGTGTTCCACTACCCAATCCTTGCACACCACAAATGAGGAGAAGCTGCTTGCTGCTCCTGAAGATATAGCGGCCTACTGGCCTCTTGGGCGGTGACTTCCTTGGCCGAGTGGCCTCCCAGCAACCGGCACCTCCTCCCTTTCGGAGGGAAACATCATTGCAGGCTCTGATATCGTCTGGACAGGCCGCAGACTCAGGCTACTTGGACTGGTACCGGCCTACCTCTAACCTACCACTACTGGGCCTCTAAAAATGCCAACTTTTGTCTTCTTCTGCTCGGCCTCCAGTACCCGACACGTCTACCACTACTTGAGTGGTACCGGCCTACCTGCTACTTGAGTGTTTTTCCCGCTGCTCCAAGTGTCGCGGGCCTACCCCCGCTACTTGAGTCTTTTCCCCGCTGCAACCCTCAAAGTCACGGCCACAGGTAAGTACTGGCCCTGCGGGGCCTTTCAACCAGCAAGTACCCTTGCGGGTCACACACACACTCAGGCCGACAAGCACTCAGACAGGCACGCAGACCAGCAGGCATGCACACACACACAGACTTAGAAATCACAGCAGAATGCGGGAATCTCAGCAAGGCATACATTCCAGTTGCAAATCCCAGAAATCAGCAGTGTTCTCAGTCTGTGTTTTGGCGGGTCATTACAGAGGTAACTCTGGGGAGTCTATGGTGTCTCTGAAAAGTGACAAATGTGTCCAAGGAGTCGTTTGATTTCTGCGATCGTCACTGCCTTTTTTTTCTGCAATTGTCCTGCATTGATATGATGTGGCAGGTTGACATTGGCACTGCTGCCCATTCGCTTGCACCTTGATCAGCGACACATTGAATTTCTTATTGCATTCTTCAGCCCACCACCACCACCTCCACCTCCGTCTGTTGTGGATGGATATGTTGGTGGTAGCTCGAGAGGGGGAGATGCAGACGGAGGCAGGTGGGGTGGATGGTCGGATGGAGGAGGGGGATGGGGTATTGTTGAAGATTTCACAAAGGAAGTCAAGATTGAGGAGGCTTTGCTTCCATTTTTTCAGGTCAGAACTGTCCCTTGTTGTGTTCACCCTGCCTCCTAGAGTGTATATATTCTGTGTTCGCATATCTACTCATGTATGCATGCACATAGTCATGTGTGGCTGTATGCATGTGTGTGTTTCTGTGTGTGTTTCTGTGTGTGTGTGTGTGTGTGTGTGTGTGTGTGTGTGTGTGTGTGTGTGAGAGAGAGGGAGTGGAAATCTTTGAAGGAGCTCATTTTGACCCTGCATGTGTGTGTGTATGAGAGAGAGAGAAAGGGAGAGACCAAGTGTTGCTTATGCATGTGTATGTGTGTGTGTGAGGGGCGGGGGGGGGGGGGGGGGGAAGAGAGAGAGAGAGAGAGATGTCAGTTTGCATTGTTGGTCTAGATGGGTGATTGCCCCTGTTTGACCATGGGTGAACTTGTGAAGGACTATGCTTATGCATAGTTGTAATGATTTGAAATTGCTTGTTCTTTTGGTTGACGTGGTAGGTGAGGAGAGTCCAAGCAAGTGTCGTGATCTTCGTAGGTTGTCCTTGGTTGATCATCTGCACTCTCATGCTGATGATATGGGCATGAGCCTATATGTGATTTGGGAGTGGTTGGTATGGTTTGTGTTTACATTGCTCATTACTGCTTGTCATTAGTAGTGCAATGTGCCCAGTCGTGATAATCAGTCGTCACTCAGAAAGACAAAGTAGACGAACGCTGCTGATAAATCAAAATAATAATGATCCCCAATGAGAGAGAAGACATACACAGACGAGAGAGGGAGGAGGGAGAATAGACTTTGAGAGGGTGGAAGAGTCTCCTCCCTACAGCCCACTTCCTCTTCGGGCACTTCCTCCTAACAGCATAATCATGTCTCAATCAGAGATCCGGATATCCAAGACAATGTCGACCAATAGTGCCACGTGGCACCAGCAGACCAGTCATCAAGCAGCAATGTGACGACGAAGTTGAAGACACCAGGTACGTATCACGACCCAAACCACAGAGCCGGCATTGACACGAGAGCGTCGAGTCCGCATAGACTCCAGACGAGAGTCTAGATGTCAAAGCCAGGAAATCAGCTCAATATGTAGTGTTGACAGTGGGGTCTGGACCCCAGTCCTCTAGTCAGACACGGCCGAGATCGATTGTCGTCGACGGCCTGGATTGAGTTGAAACTGTATCCTCCTTGGTCCACCGTTCTGACTGGGTACCTGCACACTTACAAGTCAATGCACACGACCAAGGGCCTGGGCGAGGTACTTGGACCTACAGTTGACTTCGACCTTTGAATTTCTTGCTGTGCGTGGTCACACAGCACCCGCAGCGGCCTGAGGCCGAGCAGCACGTGGTCGCACTGCTCGCTGGGCCTGGGCTTGGGTTACAGCGCCCAGGCCGCTGCTGAACGCGGTTTACTGCAGTAGCTGCTGGCTCTTCTAAAACGGTCTGATCCAGACGTTCCACAATGTGTTGCCTCACGGTCAAGAGAGTATGTTGTAGAAAGCCAGAGTATGTGTCCTCCTCGTTTAGGGGTAACATGTCCATGTCTGCTGGTCATATTTCTGAGTCTGAGCTTATGCATGCTATTCTTGCGCGAGTGGGAATTCTCTGTGAGTGGTGGATGAGGAATCAAGGCCTTGGCCCCTTTTACTACTCGTAACCTGGGGACACAATCTCATGCCTCATTGTTGTGTTGTGTTGTTAGTGAATGAATCTTTTCTGTCTGTCAGTGTGCTTTCTGGGGGTCCCACCTTCTCTGTTGTTTGTTTTTTTCCGAACTTTTATTTTGTGCTGTTCATCTCATGGCACCTGGATTTGAACTGGGGTCTGTATTTCAACAGCTCATGGGTGTACCAACTGAGTCAATCATTTGGATTTCTCAATTCTTGGGAAATACCTGGCGCAAATGTTTTGTTTATTTGGTTCCCTAGGGACTAATTTACCCCCCTCAAATGCTGTCTGTAGTCGTGTGATATCAGGCAATTGACCATCCGAGTAGACTACTTGCCCCGAAGGATCGACTTGGCTGCCCTCCGGAATGGCAATTATGTGGAGCTTCTGAATCTCATCTCATGGAAGGTGTGTGACAATGAGCTTTTTTTTTTTTCGGTTTCTGTGACCTTGAGCTTTATTTGGTTTTGACATGACTCTTTCAGCTTTTCCCAGGAGCATCTGTCGTTTCTCTCCTGGAAGTTCCTGTTCTTGCTGCTTACCCCAGGAATGTTTGCTTGTGTGAATGAAGGAGGGAAAAACTTGGTTGTATTCTCCATAGGACCCCCTTTGTGATGCCCAGCATCACTCCCTCTGCTATCCCCGCCCCAAAAAAAAACCACGTCTCCTTCCCTACCCTCTTGCCCTTTTTTCCAAAGCCTGTCTGGACTGGCCTCTGTACATCCAGGTACATTTAGCTACCTATCGTTTAGACAAATAGAATTCTTGATCGCCAAATCCGTAGCTTGCTCTATCCTTTTTTCCTTTTTTCCTTTTTTCCCCTTTTTCTTCTTGCTTTTTTTAACAAAAGGGCGAAGCCTTCAGATATCGTCATTGAACTGACCGGCGCTAGGTAATTCGGAAGATTCAAGAATGTTGTTTTGTTAATCGGACAGCATCTGGATTCGAACTCGGGTCTGTATTTTGACAGTTCATGGGTGTACCAACTGAGCTAAGGTCCGTTGGTGGCCTATCCAATTTAGCTACAACAAGAACGCGCTGACGTCCCTTTCATCGATTAGGCGTATAGGAGCGTTGCTTTCTGATGGCGAAGACAGCCTGTTTTCTGTTAAGGTTGTAGCTGTGGTTTTCAGTATTGTATTTTGAATTTTGAATTGAAAGTGGGCAATGGAGGGGAGGTTGCAGACGAGGGAAGATAACGTGCCTATGAATAGGAAGGCAGTGCGGATATATTTTTTTTGTTCTTTCTTTTTTTCCCGTTCTTGTGCAGGGGCCATGCTACTGTATTGTTCCAATTTTAACGGATGCCCCTGTAGGACAGCTCAAAAAAATGGGTTTTTAAGTGCAGTGAGGAATCAAACATTGAGAACGGTCCTACTTGAAGGTGTAAATAGTAAATACTGAATATCTAATGCGAAGATGTGCATTCGACAACAATGTCGTCATCCTTCTTGAATAAATTTGTCTGTGCCATTCTGCTTCCTTCGCTGCCTATATGATATGAATGTGGTTGTGTCATCGATTCAATATCCTACCTTCTTTTCGTGGTGCTGGATGATCTCACAACTCCCTTCCTTTCATCCACCCCCTCTGCTTTTTTTCCCTCTATGTTTCTTTCAAGTGGGACTTGTGTGAGGCCACTGCCTCTATGAGCCCCAATCAGCCCCTTTTTGGGAGCCTGTCAGCCGCCCTAAGTGTAGCATATCAGGAAGTAAAATGCACTGAGAGCCTAGGATCTAGCAATGACGAAAGTGGCAACAACCAGCAGCATAGATGCGACATTCACAAGATGCCAATGTGCACAATGCAAAGAGTGAACCAACAAGAAATCAATGACAACACATTCGTATCATTATCATCATGGGCTGGGAAGCAGCGCAGCGGAAGATTTAGTAATCAAAGGACACGTGGACAAACAAACATGGAGAGATAAACTTYGGAAGGGCAGGACATCAGAAAGATTGCCCTTCCGCTCACACACATGGGGAGAGATCCATAGACATGCGAGAGAGAAAGGGGAGAGACATAGGAAGTAACCAAGTCCAACCCAAGTCTGATCTCCGAATGTCGTACGCAGTTCAATCCCAATGTAGAGTGTAAGTCCGATCTGAATGTYGTGTCCAATAAGGCAGAATGCCGTGTCCAAACAATGTCTGCAGTTACCTCTATCTCTACTCTGATAAAGAAGAAGAAGAAGAAGAAGAAGAAGAAGAAGAAGAAGAAGAAGAATAGACTTCGGAGGAGTAGGAGGAGAAGAGGAGAGGAGAAGAAGAAGAAGAAAAAGAAGAAGAAGAAGGAGAGGAGAAGAAGAAGAAGAAGAAAGCTGGGCGCTTTCTGTTCCCACTTACATGGGGACTGCAGGAGAGACCAGCGTTGGCGCTGGTAGGGCGCAACAGGTAAGCTCCTCTCTCTCTCTCTCTCTCTCTCTCTCTTCTGAACTCCGCTAACCTCCTCGGCGCTGGACTCGTCCAGCGCTGTGCCACATTGCCGATGAACAGCGCAGCCGCAGTCTCAAAATAGCGCAGCAGGTATTCTCCATATAGCGCAGCAGGTGAAGTCCTGAACCAGCGTAACGCTGGATTTCTCCTGGTACCTTCTCTGTCCAGAACTGGGCAATGGCCCAGCTTAAGTAGCGCTGTGCCAGGACTGAGAGCCCACGGCCTACGACCTGGACCGTTCAGATCCACGGTTCAGATCGCAGGCCCGAACGTGTGGTTCAGTCCTTGGCCTAAAACGGCCTGCCTGGGTCCCTACCGGACATCCAGGCCCTGTCCAGGATTCAACTTCCTGGTACCTGGCTTCAAACCGGTCCTGTGTGGACGTACCCGGCCTCAACGTCGGCCTGGGTCCGAACAGGTCTCATATTTGTTCGAAAACAAAAGAAAAGGTCCAAACATGTTTTTTAGAGGTTCGACCTCTGGGCCTGAATCTGGCCCTGGCCCTAAAACGTGTACCTGGCCACAAAACGGACAACAGTACACACGTTAGAAAAACAGCAGCAAATAAATAAATAAAAGAATATAAAAATAATCTAAAGCTGGCGTTATTTCTGATGCAGGCCCAAGTAAAAATGCCATAGGGCCTTCAGGTTGGGGTGACGCGACCTGGGGGCCCTATTCCAAGCTCGGGTCCCGTGAGGGGCCCGTGTGTAGGCTTTCAACATGTAACACGCCCCCTCCTTATGAAGACGAGCCGGGGCGTGGGCGAAGCTGTCGATCCGATGGCGGAATGTAGCGAGGATGGCGAGGAGCTGAAGTGCTCGGCATAGTCTTCCCTTTGCTAAGATAACGTGAGAGAACGGCGGGAGCTGTGGCCTGCAGTTCCGAACGCGTCAGCCAATGGTCAGCCTTGTGGCTTCAGTACGTAGAAACTCTGTTTCTTTGTTGCCATGGCCCCGGTCGGTGATGATGTAGCCGGCCTCCTGAAATCCGTCCATGGAAGGAGGGTCTTGCGTRCATCGACCGGGAAACTCGTCGGTCTCCGCTGAAGCAAAAGGAGCGAGTTTGGAACAGTGGAACATCGTGTGGACGGGCAAGTGAGGAGGCACTGCGATGCGGAATGAAGGCCCCTCGAGAGAATGCGCCAAGGCCCCATCCACTTGGGAAGGAGCTTGGGAGAGATGTCTTGCTCAAGGCTGAACTCCGCGGTGGAGACCCAAACCAAATCGCCGGCGCGGAACGGGCAAGGGAGACGATTGCGGTTGGCTTGACGACTCATCCGTATTTGCGTCTTTGACATCTGATCCCGTGCCTTGACAAGAAGCTCTTGCATGCGACGAAGGAACGCAAAATGGTCGTCGCTCTCGGTTGTGCGCGACAGAATGGCGTCCAGCGGCGATGAGATGGGTGAACCATGCTCAAACTCGAATGTCGACATCCCGATAGTTGGATGGATCGATGAGTTGTAAGCCAACTCAACGTCTGGCAAGCGCTCAACCCAATCAACGTGGTCGGGACGGATGAGAGTGCGTAGAAGGACTTGAGCGGTCTGATGCCCCCATTCCGTTTGACCATCGGTTTGCGGATGGCAAGCCGAACTCGGCTTCAAAGATGAGCCCCATCGCTTGACGAGGGCGACCCAAAAGTCGGAGAGAAAGCGAGTGTCCCGGTCGCAAACGATCTCCTTGGGGTCGCCGTTGGAGCGAATCCAACCGGTGTATAAGACCTCGGCTAACTCCGGGGCCTTTGCGTGATAGCGGCATGGCAAAAACATGGCGTACTTGGTGAGGCGGTCGACGATCGTGAGGATCCCATCAACGCCGGTCTTGTGCTTCGGGAAGGGGCCGGTGATATCCATAGCAATCGCTTCCTGTCGCCCAAGGGGAACTGGTAGTGGGTGTAGCTCGTCGAACGGACGATGGTTGCGTTGTCGAGCGCATCGGCCCTCACGTGAACGAGGGCCCTCCTGGCCATGTGACGCAGGAGTAAAACAAAAACAATGTCATTAAGAGACTAGGGAACGACGCATAAATAATCCCGCGAGCCGCCGAGACGGTGCGTGGTCACATCGTCCCTCGCCGCTTCTGGTCGGGTGCGCCAGCAATACATCCCGCGGTCCCCTATAACAGGATATGTTCCCGCGGGGCATAACCTACCTTCCCTAAGGGGCTGTCACCACCCTTAGGGGCGTATCCCTACCGAGCTACCGACCCACGTGTGAAAGCTTTTAGATGCAATTGTAGAGGTAGGTCAGCCGAGGGCGTTTGCTCGTTCGCCGTAGTATAGATACGTTTGGTTAACGCCAAGTGGACCCAAACGTTGTCCGTCCCCTAGGGCGCTGATCTCTTAGGTACGAACAAACGTCGGTCGACTAGGATGGTCTCGACCAAACGCGAAACCACAAAAGTAATCCTAGTCTCTTAGACACACAGTCGAAGGAAAGTTATAACAAACACACATAATTTCACCAAAAGAGAGTCGATCGTAGTCGACAGGAACATGCCCAATATGAAATGATAACTGAAGGAATCAGAATCATCATATAGTACATCCAACAACACGATATCAAACACAATCCGACCACCCCGGGTCGAATTCCACAAAACGATCATACAATTGCCAACGAGAAGTTGGCATGTCGCCGACAAGGTAGTCGGACTGCCTTAGTTTTGACCTGATGAGACGCGTCGCCACAGTTATTCATTCCAACTAACGYCGACCTATGATTAAGCACGCATACGCCTGTCTCCATACATTCTCAATCTTCCTGGATGACAGGTTGCTTCGCAGACGATTCTTGATCAGGGGCATTGCTTGACGTGTTGCATGCCTCTTCCTCTAGGAAGTGGTCTGTAGATACTCCTTCCCCTCGCCTGAGCCCGCAGACTCAKATCTAAGAGATTGGGCCGTCACCACCGAGTCGGCAAAGTACCACCCCCGACGAGTCGGGTCCACTCCAAGTCGATATCAAGGCCGGCTCCGAAAGCATACGAACCCCCGCCTTGGATGCTTCCTAGAGAAAAGAGAATGCGTTCACCGCAAGTAGTTTTCAATTATTCTCATCCCTTCTCGGTTCATGGTAACTTAGACATAAAGAAACTGAATGAGATAGAGAATGAGAATCACTTTGACAGGTATGGATATAGAAGGTCATTCCGGATGAAATGTGTCAATCCTGGGAAAATGTTAAGTCCAATTGACTGCATTTTCATTTTATTCACAAGTTTTCTTTCATGGCACCCATTGAAATTACTCGTTTCAGAATTCAAATACTTTTGTCATGCAGGCAGGTGAAAGATAGAAGCATGACAATCCTTTTTCCTCCATCCCAAATAGGCAAAGTCAATCTCCATAGCAAGCATCTTTCTACCTACCTGCACAACATGCARAGAAAACAAGTTCAAGAGAAAACAGTACAATCCCATACTCAAGTCAGACTTTCCCATTCACATGCATGATTCACACAACTTCCTCTGTCTTTTCTTTTGAACATTCAAAACAACAAGGTCAAGTGAGTGTGGTTTCACACAGGTGTGAAGGGAAATTTGAGTCATCCAAMTGACCTTGAGTGAAGTTTGACCCGCCTCACTCAAGAAAGCCGGGTAGTATTCCAGTCAAAGTTGAGAAGACRATYGTCGATCAAGCTAGAAATGTGCAGCTCACAACTCCACAACTCGTGGTCGCTCCACTRAACGACGGCCAGCTTACTCTCCAAGTGCTCGTAYGAGCGAAAGTCACCTCCACTGAAAGACTCACGTGAGATAACCCTCCAGGAGGGTGTTCCCAACAATGAGTCCCATGTGACCCTAACAGTCCCAACTGTACTTCCTCCACCAAGGATACTCTCAACCAATTACAAGTCCACGCCTTCTCCACGTACCACGTACGCTCACAATAGCCACCCCAGTATGTCAGTTCCGATCTTCAAAATTCGTCCCACTTGGTCCCAAAATGGTCCTAGATGGTCCCACGTCGCTGCTACAGCACTGGATGGTCTCACTCTCAAATCCCGCTTGCGCTGCGCGCCGCCAAAAAAATAAAGGCGTCCCTGGTTGAACTGCATGTGCCACGAGCCCCAAAAAAAAAAAAGATGTCCCTCCGGCACAACCCGCAAGTGGTGCAACTCCAATAGTCAGTGCCACATCCATTCACTCTGCGATCTCTTCATGCCGCCGGCCCACACATGACTGCCGCACAGTCCCAACCACGCACCAGCGCTATCCCAACCTCTAGGCCACACTGAAGTCCACCTTAACAGCCGCGCACCACAAAAAAATTATACGGACCACTGCCTGCTTTGCCGTCAACGGTACTATGTTGCCATGCGGCACCACCGCCTAATCACACATCAAAACAAAAAACCGGCCCCACCCCGATGCAAAATTTCGGCAACACTGCCGCCATTGTCGAGCCTCCAAATGGACAGTACCTCCCCTTGACAACATCGCTGCCGCTGTACCAAAAACGGCGGCACTATCTCACTGACAGCGTCGCTGCCGCCGTGCAAAACCGGCAGCGCTTCCGCACCACTGCCGTTAAAACCAATGCTGCCGCCGCAAAAAACTGGCAGCGCTTCCGCAGCACTGGCAAAATTACACTGCCGCCGCCGTGCAAAACAGCCAGAGCCTCCCCTGCACCGCTTGCCGAAGACCTGCCGTCGCCGTGCCAAACGGCCAGAGCCTCCCCTGCATTGTAGCAAAAACCAGCTGCCGCGGCCGCGCCATGCAGGCAACGCCTTCCCTGCACTTCACCAAAAGAAGCACCGGCTATGGCAGCCTCCCTTCTCCTCCTCCAGCAATGTTCCCCTTCAACCTGCAGACCTCCACTCTCCACCTCAGGACCTCCACCGGCAGCACCGCCCCTCTCCAGCAACATGCAACAGCCAGCCAGCATTCACTCAAGTGAATGCCCCAGCAGCACTGCCACAAGTGTGATGCTGCTGGGTGGAGTGCTGGCTTTTGTAGGCAGCAAATGGCTGTTGGCAGCTGCTTTGCCCACARCCAGGCAAAATTCGTCAGTGCTCCTGGCCCTTGATCGAAATCAATGGCCAGGAGCCATGTGCCTTAGTTTCCCCTAGGGGAACCAAGGCMATCAGTTCCAAAGAGCACCTGGCCGCTTCCTACGCCAGGTGCCACACGAAATGGTTGTACGCAGCCATCTCATGACTGCCTGTTCAACTGAACAAGCGCAGTCCCATCAGCCCCTAGAAGCTTCCAGGGGCTGCACCTGTTCTACGCCCGCGGCCACGTTCGTGGCCGTTACATTTTTTCTCCCCCCTTCCTCTTCACGAAATCGAACTAGAGTCAACTCAACAGGGGCTCTTCCCCCCCCTTGCTGCAACACGCGCCCGCACCCGGCCGCGAACGGTGCCAGGTTCGCGCGCAATTGAGTGTTGAGGCCTGTTCCCGAACTCGGATGGGCGCCCCCACGACACTCAGGAAACTTTAAAAAAATTATCAAAAACAAAACAAAACAAAACAAGAGAAAGAAGAAAGGAAAGAAGAAGACGTACCTGGGCCGTAGTCACGTCGCAACAGCCGCCAGGTAAGTTCCCCTCCCCTTCCTCTCTCTCTCTCTCTCTTGAACGTAGCCGCCTAGGGCGGTAGGTTCATCCGACTTTGTCCATCCGTGGATGGACTGTCGAGGCTCAGCCTCCTGATGAGTCGGTGGAAGTCCGACGAAACAGTCTGGCACGGTCATGTTTTCTCAAGTGAGAGCTCGCTCGTCACTTCAAGCACCAGGCCCCTAACCCATAGTCGAACATAGCCGCATTTCCACGGCATATCCATTCGATTTTGCTCCTCCTGTCAAAAGGAGAAGCAGCCCGTTCGACAAAACGAACGGGCACTTGTTAATTCTTACTAATAAAAAAAAAAAGAAAACTATAAAATCTAACAAAAATCTAAAGCAAATCAAAAGAAAAGATAAAAAAGAAAAAGAACAAAATAAAAGAAAGGAAAAACGGCAGCCCGTAAAACGGGCGCCTGTCACGACCACTGGGGACTAAAGTGCCCCAGACACTTCACACTGCGCCATATGGCGCTTCACTTTAGTTTTAGTTTATTATTTTTTTTCTTTTCTTTTATTCCGTTGGCCTGGCCAACGGTCACTTCACGTCGTGTCCTATCGCCCAAGTGGCAAGACACAAAACAAAAACCAAAAAACAAGAAAACAAAAAGAGGGGGAGGGCACGACTTACCTCGTGGTACCGTGATCTCAGCAGAGCCCGTATCTGGGTGCTTATGCGCCCAGATGCAGGCAGGTAAGTTTTTCTCCCTTCCCTTTTTTTTTTCCTCTTTTTTTTCCAAAAAAAAAATAAAAAATAAAAAAAACTCAGACTTTCTCGATCTATGCGTGTCATCCTTGCGTAGAGCCATGCAATTTTCGGCGCGGTCGATCTGGAGCGCACGATTCTCCAGATAGACGGCCAGATCTGGCGCGTCAGTAGCATCACGGACAGCCAGCTCCAAAAGGAGCTAGCCCGGGGGCGCGGTATGTTGGCTTCGATCCAAGTACTTGCTGGGTATGAGTCACCTGCTATAACCTACTGGGCTAGCTCCTATCACGATAATGGTAGGAGCTGCTCTTCTATAAGAAGAGCTGGCCGAACCACTATCCCCCCATGGCGGGGCTTTGCAGGCTCCGTCCGCGTATGGCCGAAAGCTCTGCCGGACTACGGTCATGCAGGCCCTGCCCGCCTGCTTGTGGCCCTACAGGCCTTGCCGGCAGGCCTTACACCGTTGGTAGGCCGCGCTCCTATACCCAACGCACCCCTCCTTTTAACCTCCTTAAGCCCTGAATCGCGCAGCTATTATAGGTAGGTTAGGTTTAATTTTAACGTTCTCATCTGCACGCGTCCATGCAGCATGCGACAAACGAAGCATTACCATACACATTCATTACTCCAGGACGGCACACGCGTTTGGACTAACGTTTGAAAACTTTTAGTTTGTTAGTCATAGGTCGGGTCTGAATAAACTTTCGAGTCCTTCAATTCAACACAAAAGTCGGACGACGTCCGACGTTGAAAAACCTCGGCAAATACCCTTGTCAGGGTATTTGCCCCGACAGCATTCCCGGACCCCATTGAACGACGTCCCCGTTGTTCACCATCAAAATAGAAGTCGGGGTTCTTAGGAAATGATTACAATACATAACAATTTTACAATCCGCTTAAAACTAAGTCGAAGCCTTCTTCCATTGACAACCACTCAAGAAATATTTGTCTCTTAGAATGGTACCAGAAGTCCTCTGACTAGTTTCAAGTTACATCCATTCAGTTGATACTATCATTTATCCAAAAAAAAGCAGGATTAACCCCCTGATAGGTCTCTCGAGTCAGGATTAACCCCCTGACGGTTTTGTCGAATGTATCAACCTCCTGGAGTCGTTCAGACAAAGTACGAATAACCAAATATGGATATGTATACATACATACCTATTACTCAATATCACATATTAGCAAGTAATAATTCATGTCGCAACCTTTTCTTTCATATATGTCCTTGAAGAGCGCACTGATCAAGACAGATCTCCTTGTCGCAGGCATACTCTTACAAGGGACAAAGGATAACACCGATCAAGACAGATTTCACCGTCGCAGACGAACTCCTTTATTTTAGAAGAGAATACTGATCAAGACGGTTATCCCGCCGCAAATGAACTCTTTTCTCTCTCAGAAAAAAATGTCGATCAAGAAAGTTTTCCCTGCCGCAGACAAGGTCCTCTCTACCTTAAATTGAGAACAAAATGTTGATCTAGACCGGTTTCCCTGCCTCAGACGAACTGCTCTCAATTAATCTTTGAAAGGAAATCTGATCAAGACAGATTGCTCTATCGCAAATATACCTCTTAAATATTGGAGGAGAACTCTGATCAAGACAGGTTGCCCTGCCGCAGACGAACTCCTCTATTTTTCATTCAATGACTAAAATGAAGGAGAACGCAATTTATGACAGGTTACCTTGCCACAAACGAGTTCCCCTATTAATCCAAGCTGCACCATGAAATTATTACAGTGAACTTACTATAGTTTATATCATGTCCGATGTTATCGATCTTTCTGTGATATGCGTCGAGGAGTGGTGTAATCCTCTTTAAGGGATAACATCTCGACATCAAGCCCCGCTTCAGATTCGAGCCTCACCACATTCCCTCCGATTCCGATGTTGCGACCCCATCAATCAGCTACCTAATAGAGTAGGACAACCCCACCGACCCTAGTCGAGGTTAGTGAGACCTTGACTACAAGGGTGAGATGACTCTGCTCGACACGCGGTTAGGTTACTACTCCTTCCCTTGTGGCGAACAGTAGTCGCCTTTTCTATAAGCAGCGTCTTGATATGTTCACAACACCTTCCTCTCTTTCAATGATAGTGTAGTCCTCTTCCTCAAACCACATAGGATCCAGAAGATAACACCCCGCTATGGACCAGGAGCACAGCTCCGGCGCGGGCCTCACTACCACCTACAGAGCACACAGTTTTATCGCACAAGCACCGTGACATGATAAAAATCTCCAGTACGTACATAACGCAATACATGTCTTATGAATAAAATATACAACACATACTTTTATAATTATTACATCTATAAGGCAAGCTCATCACCATCCGAGCCAAGAGTCAGGTTGATCTAAAGAAAAGATCACTTATTACTACACTTGTCCATGATGGCAAATACACCAACAAACAATACAGTACTTTCACAAACATAGATCAAAATATTTATGAAACGGTCTCACCCAAAATCTTTTTATGAGGAGTTGAAGAAAATTATGATCCCACACAGAATTCCAAAAAAATTCAAAATTCGGTAAAAACAATCGAATCAGAAATTAAACGACTTATTTTTCACCGGCTTTCGACCCCTTACACATACTCGGAGTATGTCCGACTCTACCACAACTCCTACACACAATGTGCTTCCAATACTTCCTCCCTCTCTTCGCACGCTGCCCTTGCCGACCTCGAGACTCTAACTTGGAAGATTTCTTTTCTTGAGCAGCTGGCGTTGGGAGATCATCAGAACAAACTTTCCTACTCTTTCTACTTAAAATATGTTGATCCATTATTGGTTGTTCGCCTCCTTGTTTTTCTCGCTGATACTCATAACGTAAGCCTTCGTGAATGTCTTTCATCATTCCTCTTACTTCAGAGAGCACTGAAATAAAGGTTGAATCCCTCTTCCTTTCATTATCCCTGCATTCTCCCTTAGATTGTAGCAAGCGAAGTTGCAAACGAAGGACTTGATCAAAGTTCCCATTGTTAAAATTTGAACGGATCCTTGCCCAATCTGACTTGCCGTTTACCCCACGGATAAGCTCCTGCTGCTCTGCCTCAGAGAAATTTGCGAGGAAGGTAAGACATTTTTGTTTATCCGTTAAACTCTTTATCCGACGAGCGGTCCTTTCATAGTCAAGAAGAAACTTTTCTTCTACTACGTACGCATCCCGTCTGATATTCTTTAAATCCTCTAATGTCGTCAATTTATCCCCAAGCCAAAACTTCTCCAACATGGCATCTCGAAAATCCGCCCATGTTGTGGCTTCGACTATTTTCTGGATTACACCCACAAGATCTTTTTCAACATATCTCAGAACTAGTCGCAATATTTTTTTATCATCCCAGTTATTAATGGATGCAAGTTGTTCAAATTTATCTAGAAAAGTGGAAACAAAGTTACCATCGAAAAGAGGAATTTTTATTTTTGGCAAGCTTTCTCTTTCTGTATCTCTCTGC